GTGCCTAGAGAAACTAAAAGAAACATACTATGATGTTAACAAGAATTATCTTTGGATGATGAGATTATAGGTAACTTTTTTCCTTACTGTCTTATTTTAAATAAAGAATGTTTATTGCTTTTATAATAAAGAATTCTTATTTTTGAAAAGACAACTGTAGACACAATAATGTCTGCACGTATGAAATGTGATCACAGGTAAATGTGCAGGCGACAGGATGCTAAGCAGAGACACAGACACATCTACTGATTGCAGAAACAGACTGTAACTGGATAGCCTGGCCCACCTGGCTCAGCAAGTGCCAGCTTCTTTGCAGATCGCGAATATAATTCTGAACATGGTGACAGGTCTTTGGTACCAGGTTATCTCTAACCCCTTTCGAGGAGGTCAACACCATCCCCAAGCAGCGCAGCTGCATAATTTTGGTTTTGAATTGAGAAACCAGTTCTGTCAATGTAGGCTACTTGGTTCTAAGTAATATGTCTACTTTTTAGTGAGTTAACGTGATAAAAAATGTCTGTATACACTTGAAGGTAATCAAACTTGTTAATTGTTTGATCTCGACTTTTAAAGGTATTGATAGAGCTTACATTAGGGAAATCAGGGAAGTGCTGCCCCAAAATGTCCTGGAAGAGGTACCAAGTTCTTATTATAAATATACACAGATCCTATTATGTCTAGAAAGCTGGCAGGAATTTTTGTCCCAGTGATATTTACTTAAAGCTGATTTAAATTAATAAACAAACCGAAAAATAACCTCTTAAAAATTTATGGTACCACACTCACATAAATAGACTCATATTCAAGACAAACCTTTGACAATTTTTATTTTATTCATTTCTTCATCCATCAATCTACTCATTCATTAATTTAACAAATACTTTTTGAGTATCTTCTGTGTGAGAAGCAAAACCTTATTCGTTGAGAAGCATACCAGGGAACAAACACAAAAATCCCTGCAATCGTGGAGCTTATGTTTATGGCACTAGAGAGATTAAAAAAAAACATGCAAAATATATAGCATGTCAAATGGTGATTCAGTGTTTTGGAAAAAAATAAATCCAGGAAGGGAGGTAGGGCATGCCAAGTGAGAGGTGGTGTTGTTATTTAAATAGTGTGGTCAGGAAAGGCCTTACTGATAAGGTAACCTCGTTAAGAGACATAAAAGTGTTGGTTTCAGATGACTCTAATAATCCTCTTTCTGAAATCGTTTGAGCAGTACAAGTGGGAGATCACTGATCCAATGTTGCTGTTGTTTTTATTGCATGCTTGGAATAACCTTTCCTTCTGTGCTCTAAGAGTGGTACCTTCAGCACATGAATATGGCTCTTTCATAGAACGAATAAACAGTAAACATGTTTTCTCCAGAGTGACGTACCTGGTGAGAACACTCAAATGTCACTCCTCAGTGGACTCACTGAACTAATACAACTATCCATATATCTTAGATATTACTAGGTATTTTTCCTATTCATTCATGTGCTTTCTTTCTGAAGTTGACTGTGAGCCCAGTGAAGATAGGGAAGGGACGATGATTTGTTGTTCGTCTTGGCAGCTTCAGTGCCTAACCTAGGGCCTGGCGTAGGTCAGGGGCTCAATGATTGCCAGTTGAATAAATAAAGTTTGTGAGTAAAGTAAACATTGAGTTCAAACAGCTCACGAGATGGACCCTCAATGGCCACAGTTGCCTACTAAATTGTCCAAAGTGGATGGATGTCTTACATCATGACAGCCTCCCTACTTCTCCCAGTCCTATATGGGCCTGGCACCAAGGACCTGCTCTGTAAAATAAAGTGATGTTGTCTCCCTAACAGGGATACTTTTAGTATAAGCAACTCTAAGAGGTTATTTCCACTCCCACTTTCCCCATGACGGTGCTGTAAAATGGGGCAGCTATCATCCCCACATTGTCCTTCCACCTCTGTGACAGGTAATCTGGCTTATACCCTCTTTCTGAGATGGTGTGGCAGGTGATATTCTTCACACTAGATTAGGGGGCAAAAGTATGACAGTTTGTGATATCCACACTTGGGGGAGCGAGTGATTAAAAGGAGAAAGGGAACCCAGAAGGTTTCTTTTATAATGGAGTCCTCATTCTAGGCCTTAGTAATTGTGCGGTTTTGCTGAATCCCTGTGAATCCCATGACCTCAGCTGTAAACTGGGAATAATTTCTACTTCACAGCATCGTTGTCAAGGTCAAGTGGGATAATATACACACATAAAGCATTTGGTATGGTGCCTAGTGCATAATGTGAGTGTTCAATAAATTATTATTAATATTCTTACCACTGCTAATAATAATGTTCCTGTATGAGAAATTAGGCCAATAGAATTTTTTTTACAGTTTTGAACATTTTTAAATG